GTACAAAGGTAAAAGTACTTATTTTCCAGTATGGCCCCTATCAGATTATAACTATGTGATGTGATTATAACCAGTGATGTCAATGATGTTTCTCTGGTAAAGAGGATGATTATTAAATGATGATACATGTCTGGGTAGCTTTATAATGATAAATAATGATTTATTGGTTGATATATATTCTATATTAAAAATCCATACCTGCAAAGTAACTCAGTTAGTTACAAAAAATGCAGTTGAATAAAAAAAAATGCCTGGCAAATTTAATAAAGTAAAAGTATAAAGTAGCATAACATGAAGATACTCAAGTGAAGTTCAAAATTGTACTTAAGTACATGTACTTAGTTACATTGCAACACTGGTTGTCAGGTATCTTAATAAAATTCAATTCATACAGTATGTACAACAGTCAAAAACGAGTTAAATGTTGGCAGCAACAGTGAATTTGTGAATGTATGGTGTGAACTTGACTAAAATGTTAATGGATTTCTTTGACTCAGAGAGACCAACATGACCGAGGTTTTCAAAATAAGAGTTTCTATAAATACAAAAGAAGAGACTGCCTAAAACTAACATGACTTAATCTGAAAATACCTGATAAAATGAACCATACAGTACACATCAAGGATATTCTGCTTATTATTTACACATAATATGTTTTAAACATAAATAGACATACACCTAAAACAATGTCAATAAAGTTAAAACATATAGAATAATCTACTATGCACATATATAAATATATTTATAATACTATTATAAAGTGTTTAAACATGTATATAAACAACAATGACATTTAAAGACAGTAATACAATGCAATGGAGCTGGAATAAATATGTGTTGATTCATGTAATAGGTGCTTTGATTTATATTTGAAAATTGATCAAAGAGAAGAGTCAAACTGTGAGCTGTTGTCCTGTATGTTTCCCCTCCCTGACGGTGCCTCCTCTCTCCTCAGGTGTGTGTAGTTCCCAGTCCAGGCCACACGGAGCAGCACGTCAGCGTCCAGGTGACGGGAACCTCGGCAGGCACAGTGCTGGTTGCAGGGGACTTATTTGAGTGCTGCACAGACGAGGACAGCTGGCGGGACCTGAGCGTGAACACTGCAGTGCAGGAGGTCAGTCGGCAGAAGGCGCTACAGACCGCTGATGTCATCATACCGGGACACGGACTCCCTTTCAGAGTCCTCAGGAACTGAGGAGTCAACCCTGGTGCTCCACAGACCTTTATCACAGCAACATTTTGACTCATAGAAGAAAAACAATATCCTTTTTTAAAGCAAAGGAGATAATTACCTCCCACAATTTTAAGTTACGTACTATTTGTCCGTTCCTGGAAAAATAATCAGCTTTTTATTACACATCAACAGCCTGTAAACTGTAAACATCTCCGTACATGTATAGATATCATCTCAGATATTGGTACAACATTGATTATTACATTGACAACAAATATATTTGACTATGAAAATATTTGACTATAAATATATTTATTGGTTGCCTGCAACTCGACTCTTTCTCCTTCATCAAAAGAGGGATAATACCAAATAAATAAATACATTTTACTACTGTCCTTCACTTCTACAGCATCATACACACTGCATTTAAACCAAAGACTCACCAAAAACACAAGAATGGATTTTATCAAATTATTTTCCCAAATTATTTGGAGGTATTTTAGTTTATAGACATAAATTCGACAACAAACTAAGTAAATGTTAATACTAACATTGAATATTGATTAAAATGAATACTAAACCATGGTTTTTTCTTGAAATGTTGTAACATTTATGTCCAAAAAAGGACACATCTAAGCTAATCTTTCCTAACACAAAAATGTACACATTGTTCTTAAACATTACTGATGAAGTGAAGAACAACAGTCTGGGGTGCTCAAACATTTAGGGTTTCCCATTAATGTACCGGGCGCTACAGTTGAATTTTCTACTTCAACACTCCCCACACGCACATACACAGTACACCCGCGACTGTTACAATGAAGGCTCGATAATCAGCTCATAGAGGAGCAAGATTTTTTTTTTATATTGAAATTAAATGCATCAATCTGGTGCACTTTGAGAGCAAAATTAAGAGATCTATGGATACCTCTCAACACCCATATGAAACAACTGTAAACCGATTTTCAATTTCTTTATGCATATTTTACAAATCACTCCCCTTTTAAACTGTATTCTTGTTTTACTGTCACATAGTATTTCATACCTGTTTTTCATTTATGCTCTTTTTTTTTATAGCTATAATGATCATATGTGTGCCTCAGAAATACTTATTTACATAAATCGTGACCAAACCGTTTTGAGACCCACTGAGATAACTTATAGACACAATTTATTAACTATCTAAACACTGAGAGTCCTTTACTTCACCTGAGCTGAGGTTATCTGAGCCTCTCAGTCTGACAGGAGAGAGTTCTCCCTCCACCTTAGCCGCGTTCACACCGCAGTACTTTTCCCACTTTAGTTCCGATATAGTTCCAAAATGTTGCGTTCACACCAAAAAGAGCCGGAACTAAAATTAGTTAATCAGAACCTTTTTTACCCCCTTTTCCGTCCCTGCTAGAGAGCAGGTACTTTCGTGGGAGAAAAAGGTTCCTATGTCTGATTGGCTGGGCGGAATGCAAACCACGCCCCGTAAAACTTCCAAAAAGTTTTGTGAAGCTGCCATTTTATTATCCTCGCATTAGCATTATTAGCATTAGCCCAGCGCAGAAACGCAGAGAGACTAATTTATGGCAACACAAAATAAAACATGGGAGCGGTGGAGATGAGTCGGTGTCGGCGTTCTGGAGATTTACTCGGAAGGCTGTGACTCCCAGCAGCTTCTACTGAAGCCAGTCCCCAACTCCGGGGACTTCCGGCCGGGGACTTTGGGAGGCAGTATAAGCCGTGAAGTTGTTTGCGGCCTGCCAGTAAACCCAAAGCAGAAGAAGAAGAAGTGATGTCAGTGGCTTCATTTGCCTAATCCTCCCCCAGGAATTTATTCCGGTGTGAACGCGTCTCTACTTGAGAGCTCTCATGAACTAAGTTCTCATGAACCTTTGTGGGAAAAGTACTGCGGTGTGAATGCGCCTCTTGTTGTTGAAAAAGCTCCTTATATCCATTAGCGTAGCTAGCTAGCACCAGATGCTAACCACATCGATCTCCAATACCGGTGCGCGCGCTCTCTCTCTCTCTCGCTCGCGCACACAAAATGGCTCGTATCACACACACAGAGAGCAGCATTTGAATGCAACACAGAGACCCAGAAGTACTTGTACTGTACTGTCGCATATTATTTTCGAATCAATCATTTTTCAAATTATGAATTTTACACATAAAAAAAAGAAAAGACACATACATGTCTTGGGGGTGCTTAGGGGGTGCTATGGCTATCCTAGGGGGTGCGTCAGCATTATGCTCTGACGTAATTGTTCATTTCTTTCACAATATTTCCTTTTTCTTTTATCTTTATTGATAACATATTAATCAATTAAGTTGAATGTAGGGCTGGGCGATTTTTTCGATTTTAACGATTAATTTGCATTTTTACTTTCCTACGGTTTGTGAAATGGCTGAACCGAAAAATCGCGATTTAAAAACATTTCTAGACTCCGCAGATTTGTTTTGCTTTAAGGGACTCCGTAGTAACTTACTCTCTCACTTTCCAGAACGCGCACAAAACTCAGCCACATTGCCTGTGACTACCCGATCTGCAGCTCTGTGTACACATATATCACTTAAATTATTCAATACATCCTTTGTACTGAAGTATTCAAGAGTAAATAAAGTTTAATATAAATGATTTGCTGTGGTCAATTGTTTTCATTGCATTTACAGACCCGTGTAAATCTCTGATACCACCCAATGAATGCATTGACTTGTTTGTAGAACCACGCTACACAAAACAGATAGCAACACCTATACAAACTATTTTTAAAAAAAAGGGGCTACTGTATATAAATATTTTTTTTTTCTCTAAAATATCAAAAATATCTTGCATTTTAGCCATGCCTCATTTCGCTCCATTTGCTTTTTCCAGCGCTGTTTTTGCAGGGGGCTGATTCTGTGAGCTGCAGCTGACCACGGCCCCCTGCAGGAGAGGGGAGCGTGCTCTGAGATCAGCTGCTGGGCGGTCTGTAGAGGGGGAGGAAAAGAGATCTCCGTCCTCCGTGTTTTATTCTTATCGAAGTAAGAAGAGAAGTAATGGGGCAGAAACCCTCCTTTTTACGCAGCGGTCCAGACATAGACATCAAACGGCGACACATATTCAGTTGGCAGTTACTTTGGCATTAGGGCAGGGATATCTAGACACTTCCCAAGGTCTGACATCATGAAGTGTGCTACTTTTAAAGCAACGATGTTTTCAAATCTGTAATCAAAAAGCTCCTCAAAAACACTATCGAAGCAGTTCCTGCCGTTGCTACGTTAGTTCAAACAGTAACAACGGACTACTTTTCTTAGCGGATGCTTGTCAATTTAAATCAATACATAAAACTATTTTTTAAGTCAATAAAATCATTTTCTAAATCCATAAAAGCATTTCAATTAATATTAGGAGTCATGTCGTTACTTTGTTGAGAATGTGGCCATGTAATAAGCGGGATAATGTGCACATTGCATATTGCATAATGTGCCTTCATGCCGATCTAGATCCCTCCGCAAAAAAAACGGCTCGTTCGCGGGCGAGAGCCGGCTCCCGTCGTTCACTTAAAAGAGCCTTGGTCTGGTTTGTTTAGAAAAAACAGAAAAAATCGAGGTTTAAATCGAAAATTGTCCATTAGTTAGAAAAAAATCGCGATTTTATTTTTAGGCCAAATCGCCCAGCCCTAGTTGAATGTAATCTAATCATACTAATTGAACACATATGCTGCCATAAGAACATTTAAGACACACACACACACACACACACACACACACACACACACACACACACACACACACACACACACACACACCACACACACACACACACACACACACACACACACACACACACACACACACACACACTCAGTAATAGTCAGAATATATTCTCAGCGTTTGACACGGTGAATAGACAAAGCTGAACACTTTCACTTACAACAACAATAATGATTCATTTTATTTCTAGTATTTCTAGTTTTATTGGTACACTCCAACTCCATTCAATTTAATATCTCAAATATTTCACACTATGTATCATACATTTTGCAATGTAATTGTTTGTAATTTGTAGTACTGTAATCTAGTAAATTAAATGAACCAATAATAATATAAGAATAATTAAAAGTATATAATATAATTTTAAAAAACATGTGAAAAATAAATATCTAAATACAGGGAAAAAAGTAATACAAAGAAATAATAATATTAATAATAATAATAAATGAATTACTTAAATGACAAGTAAATTAAATGAACCAATAATAATATAAGAATAACTAAATGTGTATAATATAATAAAAAAACAGGTCAAAAAGAAATATCTAAAAACACAAAAAAAAGTAATACAAAAAATATATAATATTATATTAATGATAAGGAGAGAGGAGTCTCTCCTGGAGAATTGTTCCAGAGGAATCCCTCCTATTTTCCCTCTTCCCTGCACATTATGACAACAGCGTGTTTTAGTGTGTTTGAGGCTGTAGTCATGCCGCGCGGGTGTAAAAATAACATCAGAGTGGTAGTACCAGGCACAAACAGGACGTATTTATGTAACATCACCATAAACTCACAATTACCTCAGAGACATCGGCAATAAAGGCTCATAAAGTTCAACCGTCACTCTGTATATCACCTTTTGTTGGCTGTCATTTAGGGAAACACCGCGTCTGATAAACCTCTGTAAAAGGAACTTTTCTAGAGATAAATGTAGAAGATACAACAGGAAGTAGATTTGTTGCTGTTCCTATCTGATGCATGAATTCTATATTACTAACGGACAGAATGGAGGCTCTGTGATTCAGATGGGTTGAGGTTAACTTAATAAAACAAGAATATTCATCTTTATTATTTAGATTAATGACCATAAGACCTTCGATAAGGTAATAAGCAACAATGAATCTAATCCTGAACGTCAGAGTCTGTTGATTATAAACGTATTTACTCTTTTATTGTGGGAAAAGTTCATTCAGGATCATTGAAATAATAATAATAATAGATTTAATTTGTTAGCGCTTTTACAGGTGCTCAAAGACGCTTTACATATATAGTGAAGAGAAAATAAAATAAAATAAAGGAACAACAAATAAATATATAGTTAAAGTTAAAGTCAAATAATACAAAAACAATCACACATTAAAAGCCAGATTGAAGAGGTGAGTTTTTGTAAGTTTAAATAGTCGTATGACGGAATAATCTCAGCTTTCTAGTGTTGCAGAGCTTTCAACTGCATGTCATGGTCTTTATCAGTGCAGTTGTCATGGAGATGTTTTAGCTCATTAGTCACAACTTGACCAAAATGTGGGGGTAAAATGTTAAAATATGGCGTTTTGTATCAGATGGAAATAAATGATTATTTTCATTATGTTAACAATTAATCAAAATGTCAGAAAATAGTGAAAATTCATCCAGCTTTCTCAAAATCCAAGGTGATATCTATACCTTTCGTAGCTTTTCTCATTACTCCAAACCCAAATATATTAAGTTTAAAGGGATCAAGGACAACAAAAAGCAGGACATATTAAGAACCTGAAAACAGCATTTTCTGCCATTTCTTCAACAAGTTTATTAGCAATTATTTTTCTGTCAATTGACTAATCCGTTAGTTATTTACTTATTTTACAATTTGTTTCCATCTATCTGCTCCTGTGAGCTGATTCTTGGTCCATGATCTTTGACGTCTAGATGTGAGTTTTGGGAACACCCGGGGGGAAAAAACGGTCACAGCATCGACTGGGTAGAGGATATGAGATTAAACCAAGGACAGAAACATAGATAAATATAGAACAGTGCTCATGATCACTGTCACTCCACACTTATCAATGAGTGTGCTCATCACTATCAACATGACTACACAGACTATGATTCATAATAACCTTCAATTCTACAGTAAAACGCCCAGCAAGCAATGGCCTCCGTGAGTCACTGAGACCTGGTGATGCTCACAGTTCAGATAGATTCAACGCTCAAACTCCATAGCTGTGTGTGTGTGCGTGCATGCGTGTGTGTGTCATCCCTGACATATGTTGTTTAAAGTCCATGTCAACACTCCCTACACCTACACATTTGAATGGTGCCATAATTCAATGATAAGGTAATCAGATAATAAACACACACACACACACACACACACACACACACACACACACACACACACACACACACACACACACACACACACACACACACACACACACACACACACACACTCATACCATGTATACATCACTTCAGGGGACATTACATTGACTTACATGCATTTCCTGGAGACTTATCCTAACCTTAACCATAACCAACACATGCCTAACCCTAACTCTTAACCTTACCCTTAACCCTAATCCTAAACCTAACCAAGTCTTCACCCTAAAATTAATGATTCCCCTCATGGGGACCTCCAATTTGTCCCCATAAGGGCGGCGAGTCACACACGTGACTGTGTAAACAGATGTAGGTCCCCACAAGTACAGTAATGCTAGACCACACATACACACACACACACACACACACACACACACACACACACACACACACACACACACACACACACACACACACACACACACACACACACACACACACACACACACACACACACACACACACACTAGAGCTTGTACACACTGAATGCTCTCTGTAATCAGTGTTCTGATCAGTTCAGTTCAGATATGTTAAGGTTAAAGGAAAATGATTGATTGTCGGCTGTTAGGAAGTACATGGAGTCACAGAAGAGAAGAAGAAGGGGGGGGTTCACATGGATCAGGATGACAGCATATCTGTTTGTCTTCCTCGTTTCCTGGTATCTCTCCACTTGGTAATCAAGCCAACACACGCAAAGTTACCATTTTTTTTTTTTAAAGGAATAACTTCATTTGCAATCAGAAATTAATGTAGATTTCAAAAATATTAATTGACCTGTTTATTTATTTTTTACTTTTTCCTGCATTTATCTGACAGCTCAAAATGCCAAACAATCTAATTCAATTATTTATCAGCAGAATAATCCATAATGAACATAATCATTATTTAATAGTTTAAAATGAGCTCCACCTATTCAACTACAAATGTGAAATACTAGTTTACATTAGTGCACGAGTGACAATAGTTAGTCACAGAGAACATGTTTCTACTTTTAATTATTAAAGTACATTTTTTATTTTATACTTAAATATTTAAAGTTAATATTTGTAATGCAGTACTTCAACAGTGTGGTTTTAGTCATTTGAACACACACTCAGACTCTGCAGGACAATGACTCAGTGTCTGGTGTGTGTTTATTAAAAGTGACTTGACAGTAAATCAAGTGAACGTCGTCAGAATAATGAGAGCTTCCTGACAAATATAAAAAATAATTATTAACAGAACAATAAGTCAACTATAATGTTAAAACTCTCAGGTATTATTGACTTCATCATGCGGTGGCCTTCGTCATTAGACCCCTCTCGGATCACAACCCAACACTAACATTAACATTTACAGTGAATGGTGAAATGCAAAACGGAGTACACGTTAATGCAGAAGTAATAATAATGAAGGAACAACATACAGTGTGTCAGAGTGAAACATTGACAGGTACATGGGCGGGGGGCAGTATAGTAAATCATCTCATGAAAGCAGAGCTAAGTGTATATAAGATGTATATGAACATGTTGTCTGTTACATAAATGAAATTGGTTGGTTTGAGGAGCTGTATTTTAATTTATCAGAAATTTTCCAATTAGAAATAAATAAAATGTAAACCAAGTTACACCCTAAAAGTGTGATTTGAAAAATATCAGAAAAACCACTAATTGTATTATGTTGAAGATAGCTCACAGAAAAAGTCATATTAAATAACTAAATAAATTAAAATATCAGAAAATATGACAGAAAATAAAATGTCAAAAATATCGGACAAAACATTTCATAATGCATAATAAATAATAAAGAAATAAACAAAACATTTCTGAAAGTATAGTATGTCTAAATGTTTCTTTTTCTTTTTCGTACACCTCTTAAAAGTGTTATTTTGTGTTATATTTCACACACTAATGCTTGACACGACTTTGTCTTGGTAATTGTCCATCAGTAGCAATACCAAGGTTCTTTGGAAGAAATGTATTTAATTATCAGATTTTGGAAATTGAGAATCAATTATCTAAGAAGATCAGATTTCCGTTTCTAACATGAACTGTTTTTACTTTATCCCTAGTCTTAACAAACCCTAAATGTAGATACCATTAATCAAAAGGAGTTTTTGCAGCCCCAATGCTCCCTAAAAAAGTACGTTAATCTGTTCTTTTCTATATTCTCTGCTTACTGTTATAAGGGTTGTGCTGTAGACCACAGCCTTGGCTTTTATGGCTCTCATGGAAACATGAAGAAAACCACACCCATGGCATAAAGTCTGGTCATAAAGAGTAATAATCAGGCTTATCTATTATAGCTCCGCCCTTTATACCCGCACCCTCCAAAACTCAAATATATTCAAACAACCCATTCCCAGTCTGTCACTTCTGAAGCCCAAAGCTGCACAAGAGGAGAGATTTTTGCTCCGAGGATCAGTTGGGATTTTAGACATTTTTACCTTTTTGAGCGCCCCCCACACCCGCAGACATCATGTGTACAGGAGCCTGTTCTAAGTTCATCGCCATCCCGCTCTACATCCTGGCTGCAGTGTCCATCATCTGCAACATCATGCTCTTCTTCCCTGGCTTTGAAACGCAGTATGCAGCCGCAGACCGGGAGGGGGAGGAGCGCATCACGGAGGAGGTCAAATACATGGCAGGCCTCATAGGAGGAGGAATCCTGGTGAGTACATTGATGTCAAAAATCCAAATTGTCCATAACAAAAATGATATGATTTGACTAATATTGTGTTTTTCGTTGGTCAAGTTTAGGCCACTAAAACTAAGGAAAGCCTCACATCAAGCCAATGATGTAGTGTATATGACCTCAAGCAATTAAAGACATAGCCAAGGTCAAACAAACACAACATTGACCACTTTCTTACATTTAAACAAAGAGCACCGAAATAAATAATGCAATAGTTTTGGTAACACGCGGGATCTAAATGTGCATCACATTTTTACAGGCTCGATTCAGTTAAAGGGGCGCATCAGAACAAAACCCTGATGATGTCATGGTGATGTCATCAGGGTTGTCTCATCCTGGACATGGAGAACATGTAACAGTGAGCCCTTGTTACAAACTCACACCAAAATAGGAAATGGATGCCGCATACCCCAAGATGGCGCGGACGCCACAAAATGTCCTAGCTTCCGGGTTTACCTCCTGGTTTCCCTGCTCTCCGGAAAGTGTTTCTGCTTTGACTGTTGACTTACATTGTCATAATCTCACAGAATTTTAAATGATTTACGGGTTGGATTCAATATAAAAATCATAAAAGAGTTGTAATTCATCTTTCGTTTTCCTGTCGACAATTTTACAAACAATTATTTTGTTAAATCGGGAAAATGCTTTTTGGCCTGCAGGGGACTTTTTTACTGCAATACCGCAAGTGGCCACTGTGAAAAAGTCATGCTGAGCGGCGCGGCTAATCCATTTGAGAGTTGTTTTGCATTGTGGGAATTGTAGGATCCCCTCTTTTTCCGAAATGGTCCATACTTTTGACTTAAAGTGAGGATATCTCAGCCTCTGCTGCTCTGATGTTGCAAATTCATTTTGTAATCTAAATCTGGCTTGGGACCTAACCTTATAGAAACAAAATACAAAATTGAGTGCCTCTTTAAAGTCAGTTCAGTTCGCAGCGGCTTAGTGCTCCTGTTTTTTCGCTTTTACATTTTTTTATATTTACTGTATTTAGGTCTGTTGTCCAGATCTAATGCACAATTTACTTAGGAAACATTTCTTTCCTTCACAATCTTCCTTCAGTAATAATGTTGTTTGACCCTGTTTATGTTTCTGTCAATTAAATATGCCTTCTGTTCTATCAGGTCCTCGTTCCTGCCATCCACACTCACCTGACCAGCGCTAAGAACTGCTGTGCCAACCGCTGTGGGGTAAGTGTGCATTAAGTGGACGCTGTCTGAAACGTTATCTTATCTATCTGTTTGTACCTCTCATCGTGGATAAATTACTGTTACATAAACTGGAACATCCCAATCTTAAAAAGCAGTATTATTAAACTTTTCGGCATATATTTTCAGATAAAACCACAATTTGTTAACCATCTGTGCTAGAACTCTGTCCTCTGGTGTTCAGAAAACACAGCTTCTCCCCTCTTTCCCCAGAAACTTGTCAAATGTGCATTTATTATGGTGTGAGGTTCAGAACCGAGACGGACTATCTATCTAAAGCAAGTCCCTGGAATTTGATTTTTACAGTAGTGAAATAAATCCAAACCAGTGTCTTATATATTTATTCGGAAATGTCAAGTTCAGTTTATTTTTGTTGTTTCAACCTGAAAAAAATCCAATGCAAACATAACAATTGATCAGAGTCATTAATATTAAAATAGTGAAATACCATAGCAATGTTTTAATTATTATTATTAAGTTGTTCCCTTAAAATGAATGAAAGCTACAAATATTAATTTTTTATATTCCCAAAAACTGACATACACCCCCCTTTTTTTATATTGTTGTTTGAGTGTCAAGACTATTCCACAAGTTACCTCCTTTGACTGTTAGACATTTTTGTTTTTCATTGTTATTATCTTTTTTTTGCAACATGCAAGTAATGAATCATACCTGACTGAAAAAACTGGGGTCAACAATGTGAAATCATCTCCTACAAAACGTGCTTCAGTGTCCACTTCCTGACTCCACTGTGTGCTCCATGCAGATGTTCCTGTCCATTGGTTTTGCAGCAGCTGGTGCGGTGGGGGCCATTTACAGTCTGAGTGTGGCTGCCCTGGGCCTATCTAATGGGCCAACATGCCGTTGGAGCAATCTTCAATACCCCAATTCTCAATGGGGGACACCCTTCGCCAGCAGGTACAGGCAGTCTTTATGGCCATACATAATGTAGTTTAATGTACCATTTTCTTGTATTTACCTTTTCTAATTGTTATCCTCTCAGTAACGGGAGCTACCTGGGTGATAAAGCAATGTGGGACTGGTGCAAAGAACCAGAGAATGTGGTTGAATTCAACGTGGGACTGTTCTCCACTCTGCTGGTGGCGGCCTGCTTCGAGCTCGCCCTCTGTCTCATCCAGATGGTCAACGGACTCTTTGGATGTCTCTGTGGCACCTGCGGCGGCAAGGAAGTGAGAGCATAGCACACTACAGGGTTCAGCATGATAACTAGACTATAAGATCAATATATTTCTACTGGTTCTGAAAGACAAGGCCAAAACCTTCTCCCAGCCTGGTCTGTATTCGAACGCATTTACTAAGAACTTGGTGTCCTAGTAGATGCGTCCAAATGAAAAATAGAGCACATATAATACATATTTATTTAAGAAGCTTAGCTTTTGGTTTCTCTAACAGACTTTCAGTTGTGCTGCGTTATTTTTTAAAGATCCTTACACACCAAACTGACACCAAAGAACACCAAAGAACACCAAAGAACACGTCCCGACGGAACGTCGCCTCACGTCTCCTGCGTGTTGGCCATGTTTCGCACTGGAACACACCGCAAAGACTTCAGCCGACGGCCAAGTAGCACATACGAACTGCACATGCGTGAGTGGCAATAACTCTCCTTACCAGCAGGCGGCGGTAGTGTGTATTCCTCATTCAAAAGAGGCAACAACCGGAAGACAGGGTGTTTCTCAATCTCGAGTACGCTTGCCTTCCGAGCGTCTTGCTTCAGAAGCGAGGCAAGAATACTTCCTGGCATTCGGAAAACAAAGAGTGGAACAGGCTAGCAAGTGTGCAGGTGTGCGTCATATGAGAGGCCCCGCCTTACATTTTCTGCCACAGATTTGGGGAAATTGGTCCGTGCTCAAAGCATTGTGGGGATTTTAAGACCGCGGAGTCTACACATGTGCAGCCTCGAAATAAGAAGAACAGAGAGAGAAGAAGAACAGACTGCGTGATATAAACAAACAACAAATAGCGTGTGCTCACGGGGCTTTCCCGAACCTGTGTCGAGAGCTGGAGTTAAATGAAATCTCAGATTTGCCTTCTTAATAGTTTGTTTGGGTCCCTCACTTCCGTTTCGCTTCTCATGCACTGATTCGCTAGCTGAACAGCCAATCAGAGTGATTTCTTTGGCCGACAGCCTCCCGATTCAACATGTCGAATCGGCGGCGGAAGGTGTCGGCACGGCCGAAAAGACACAACGGTGCAATACACACCAAGGCACACCAATCTGAGTAGGGCGACACAACGCTCATCGACGGCCCGACATCTATCGACATCTATCGACGCTGAAAATTGGCTTGGTGTGTAAGGACCTTAAGGCATGCCAAAACGTTTATAAAATACACTGAAACAATTTTAACGACTCTAATGAAGTGTATTTTGTGAACACATTACACATATTGTATTCAGTTAGTTGAAATCAAAAATATTGATGATTTAAACAGAATATTATTGCTTTCAACTAACCTAATATAATTTTGTGTAATCTGTTGACAAAAAAAATATTGTCAACGTCTTCTCGTGGTTGTGATTTGGCACAATATTTCTTTATTTTACAAGACCTAACTTAGACAAGACGTTCTGAAATCCCAAAACACAACGCTGTTTCAAAATGTGGTTTCTATTTATAAATTCTGTTTCATTTATAACCCCAATTATTATCGCTCTCCACCATTCCTCTTTCAGATATAATACAATTAGATTATCCCCTTACTTTAGCGTCTGACTGTATATTAATGCTTTTTTTTAAACTCCAGATGTCAAAACTAACCCTGTCTTTCTGCCTTCTCTCCACAGTAAGCTTACTGTGACACACCACGACACACCATGAAGAACACACACCTCTTGAAGAATAAATGACAGGGATAATCATCACATTCATCAACTCAATTCATCACCACTATCATAACCTACTGTATCATGGGGGGGGGTTGAGATAGGAGTTGAATGTCCAAATCCTCATTATTCTTATTACTAATTCTTCAAAAGGAATGACTGGGATGATCAATAAATATTTCTTCTGTACCTATTTTATTATTCTCATATTATACTGATTGTAGATGGAAAAACTGATGTGTGCTATATTTGTATCTGTACAATTGTACGTTTTAAAATATTTTGTAATAAAGCTTTGAACATAAGATAAAAAGGAGGTACTTCAGGTTTTCTAGTAAGCTAAACCTAGATTAACTGTGTCTTGCTGTGTTTGCATTTGATTATCACTTTACAATGAACAAAATTGATATTTTATCAAATATTTTCCATTGTTACAGATTAACTTTAAATGTCCTAAAATAAAAAAGATTTTACTTACTTTGACACTCATATCAAAACATGTTTACTATTGATATACACACTTGGAAAAACGACTGTATCTAAAGTGATATATATTGCTAAGTCTCCTTATAGTTTGAGCACTGCTTCCGAAACAAATAGGAATTCAGTATTATTAATTCAGATATGAGCTTGGGGATAAGAAAAGTAGCCTATTGTTGCAGGCATTGATTAGTCTCATGACCAACTCATTTGCTCCTTGAACATGGGACGTACTTTGTACTGTTTGTTGACACCATGCGTTACTAACTAAACGGTGTTTCGTAAGAATCAATGAACGCCTTTCTTTAAAAAAATTGACCCCGACGTGATTTGAACACGCAACCTTCTGATCTGGAGTCAGACGCGCTACCGTTGCGCCACGAGGTCTACAACTAGATCTATCTGAATATTTTGTTTATCAATCTTGCCTGCCGTCCATCATTTACGTCAGGGAAACGATTCACTTTTTAGTGAATAAGCGCTACATACGATGTCAAACTGTTTTTCTACTGTATAACGTTACAGTAGAAACTATATTTTTAGTGATACAGTAGATGAACGGTATTTTATTCTCCACTAGATGGCCCTGTTTGACAAAATATAATTGATCAAATCACACTGTCATTAATGTTTATGTCTATTTATTAAAATGTTCCAACAGCTCCAGGTAATATAAGTGTGTCAATCAGTGTTTATGGACTATGCATTATGTTAGGATGACCATTATTGTTTTTATGATGATCATAGTGTTACCCAGAAAAATGAAAGGTTTTATAATTTTTTCTAAAATCGATATAGTGTTATTTATTATTACATATCACTTTTGGTGGATATCTGGTTAATATTTTTTTTACAGAAAGCAGGCCCACATTACATTACATTTACATGAAATGTCAAGTGGGAGAAGTACTCAGATCTTGTACTTTAGTAAAAGTAGAAGTACCAGTGAGTAGGAATACTCTAAAAGTACTGTAATCAATATGCTACTCAAGTAAAAGTACACAATTATTGGCATAGAAATATACTTAAAGTACCAAAAGTAAAAGTACTCATTATGCAGATTTCAGAATAATATATATGATATGTTTTATAATGATTGATCATGAAAGTGTTCTCAAAGCTGGTAAAGGTGCAGCTAGTTTGAATGACTTTGTATACTGCAGGGTAGCTTGTGGATTTACTCCAGGTGGAACTAAAGTCTGATTTAACACTTGATTATATTTCACATCATTCATCCAGATCTGTAAAGTAACTAAAGGTATTAAATAAATGTGGGGAAGTAGAAGTACAAAGTAGCAAAACATTTAAGTAGGCAAGTAATATAGTGGAGTAAAAGTACGCCATTTACCTCTAAATTGTAGTGAAATAGAAGTACAAAGTAGCAAAAGATTGAAATACTCAAGTAAAGTACAAGTATCTGAAAAGTGTACTATAAGTACAGTAATTGAATACTTTTACTTCGACACTTTACACCACTGGAAATACTCAAAATTACTTTAAACAAATGTTACCTCTTAAAAGCATTTGCATGCTTATACATTTAATTAGATAACTGACTCCCTCTCTCACGTTGCCTACCAGGCAACGTGTTGGCTGCAATTCTTCTCATTTTTTAAAGACAGAGGATGTGTTCTGTTGGTTAAACCCCATGTGTGTAGATACACATGGAAATGTAGGCCTTAGTGTCATTTCCCCCACAGAGGAAAAATTGTACTCAAGAAGGCAGTATTCTGTGTGTTTTCTCAGTGTCCTCTCGTAATGTTATATTATTTTAACAAATAATCAGGTGGTGTAGACACTGTTTAGGCTCAATGTGGTTCTGGTCTATTAATGTTGTTATATTTCCGTTTGGACTGGATATGGCCAATAAATCAATGTTAATTTAAAAGACAGGAAAATACAATATACAAAATGTGGACATATCCAAAATATATCTGAAGTAAGTATGTAGAGTAGGCCGACTTAGAAACTAACAAAGAGCGAGACAGCGCAAGCGAGATCTTAAGATTGGTCAACTTCCTGTGCTCCACACAGTGTCACCAGTGTGTCAGTATGCTGATCTGAAACTCACACACTCCTCTGCATCTGAATCGACTTCTCTTTTGATCATCAAACAGGTATTGTCACACTTTTACTCATTTCTTCACATACTATAAAATATACTGTACTTCATGTGTCATTCAAAATGCGGCATCTTTCAATTAGACAACAGAAAAAAGCTGATTGAGTCATATTATAAGAGTCATATACTAGGTGGAAGTATTGGTTGCAAATAAAGACAAACAAAAAGCATTCGTTCTTACTTTGTACACTTATCTATTAACCATATGTTGTACTTACCACCATGTACGCTCAAAGGATTGAACAACCAAGACATTTATTACAACCAAACAGATTTTTGTTTTATTGTCAATAAATAAATGAAAAGATATTTCCCAGTGATTCTTCCAGGAGTGACGGTGTAGAAAATCTGTGAAATTGATATTGATTGGAGAAAAAGACAAATGAAATCAGCAGAAAGAGCAGCAGGTTAAAACAAAAGCTGAATATGTGTTGGTTTATGAGGGGAACTAACTTTAGAGGGAACATACGCAGTCTAATTAAAAGCACAGAAGAAGCTGAAAGGCTTTGCTGCGTCCGCCACAGAGCCGGCAGGTAAGCAATTTGACCAAAGCATGTCACTAAAACAGCTCTTATAGTCATACTAAAGTAGGCCTTTGATGTTGTTAAAGACACAATAATATATATTGAAAGAAAATGATACGGAAATGGGAAAGGGTTGATGGACCTGTTGAAATGTATCGCCTGAATCTGCAGTTCTGCTCGGCTTTACAGCGCTTTACACTGAGAACAAATACCAACTAAAGAGTTGGTAGGGACCAACAACTGAGCTAAAAATGATGAACATAGGACTAACGTTTATCATGTCCACGTAAACACGACTCCAGATAATGCCAGAATTGAAACTTGAATTTCCAAAAAACCTCAAAAGTTAGAAAACCAAAAAGTGATGTATACATATTAATTGACATTATCTCTTCTACTCTACGGCTTCTTAAGTCATAGATATACTGTAGTGTCCAAATCCACATTTTGTTTGCTTTTTCTGTTACTAAATGCACGTCGTGTGGATATAAATATTGTACAAAAGGTGGGGTTTGATTTGTTTTTATACCAATAGTATGGGACCAAAGTTGTATTAGCTCAACCATGCACCTTGACCTCCTTCTAAAGATGTGTCTTTGTTGCTTAGAGAATGTCAAAAACAACTTAGACTGTTTCTAACCACTGGTTTTCCTCTTGTGTGAATTAGGTCACCATGTCCCCCAACGTGGCCTACAACAACAGCTGTGCGGAACACATCAGCATCTTCTCCGTGTGCATGTACTCCTTCATCTCCACCGTTGGCCTGGTCTTTAATATCCTAGCACTGGTGTTTTTCTTCAGCCAAACCAAATCCAGATCTCAAACGATAGTCTACATGACTCACCTGGCCATAGCAGACATTCTGCTCATCCTCACATTGCCCATGAGGATCTACTACCATCTGGGATCTACCCTTGATCAGCGGATCTGTGAAGTCCTCGGTTTGGTCCTCAAGGCCAACATGTATGGAAGCATCTTTCTCCTCACTTGCATTTGCTTCGACCGCTGCATGGCCGTCAGCTTCCCTATGTCGTCTCGAGTCCAGGCAGGGAGAAAGAAAGTTCCGTGGATTTGTCTCGGGATATGGATGCTCACCTTTGGAGCCAGCCTGCCCATCTATCTTACCAAGCGCAATTATGTTAACAACACGGAATGTTTCGACAGCCTTCCTGTTTACGCTACAAACCCGGTGGTGGTTTTTCCAACCCTGATTGTGGGGTTTGGGATCCCACTGGTCATCATGTTGATCTGCTCATGGGGTTTGGTCCGTGCTGTCCAACGTAGCTCTGTGGCTCAGACCAACTTAGTGGACAGCGGGAAAATCCAGAGGATGATTGCCACCAGCCTCCTCATTTTCCTGCTCAGCTTCCTCCCTTATCATACCATCCTGGCCGTCCTCTCTCTGTATAAAGAAGATATATCCTGCCCCATGCGTACTGCATACCGCTACAGCCTGATGATGGCGTGTCTCAACACAGTGCTGGATCCTGTTGCGTACTATTTCACCACGGACACCTTCAAGAAGAACGTGGACATGGGCACTGTTCGGAGGATGTTTCTGTTGAATAGTCAAAGTTCCGATGTGAACAGGAGCAGGATGCCCAACAGCTAAAGGACTCAACAGACACACTGAAAAACAGAAACGTTGACATTAATGAATGTATTATATCAACAGATTTCACATACAGTAACTGAATTAGGTTGGTTGAATCTAATATATTTTTTAACTTAATATTATTGCTTTTTACTAACCTAAATAATGACGTGTGACACAATACATTTAATTAAAGTCAACCTTTACATTTTTTGAAGTGCATGCAACATATCAAATCTGATGTTTAACCTAACAATGAGGACATTTTGGGATCATTTCTATAATGTAAACCCCAGAGAATGACAATGTATGTAAGTCCCTTAAGTATTTCACCCTGTCCCTTTATTGCTTGTGTTTTATACATCATGGAGCATTATTTATGCATATTTTTAAGGTTATCAAATAAATACTATGCTATCTATCAGTGAGTATGGATAACTGAACTTAAATAAAATGAATAATTATAAAAGGATAGACATTTTTTATGATAGATGCAATATGAAATAGCTAATATGAGATGTATAAAAAACCTCTTTAATTTCTGCATTAAATAAGATCAAGTGCAAGGTGTTAAAAAAAACTTATGTGAAAAGATAAGAGAAACAGTAAGTGCGACTTCTTGTCTGTGGTGGTCTTCTGGTTTTTTAATTTAAAAACATTAAAAAAAAACTGCATTCAGTTCCACCGGGAGCAGGACAAAGTGACATATATATATTACAGGCAAACAAGTCCAAGTCACCGAAAGATTTTTAATTTTTAGAACAGCTATGGAAGGACATAATTGACCTAAACACACAAAGCACAACAACTTTCTCATTCTTGTCATTTCATACTAATAATGAATCACCGAAACCACTCTGTATTTTTGTGAAATGAAGGCAGGAGGAAGTAGACATGCTTATCTTTGGTTGACATTGGTAAAAGATACATTATAAGATGTTGAGCTTGTAGGCCTACTGTATGACGTCATAATCACTGTTGTTGTTCAGATCATGATGATATTAATGATTTGGTTTCATGTGTACATTTATCTGCATAATTCTGAGAGCTCCATAGGCCATAGGCCGTGGGTGGCAACAGAAGTGAAGCATTGCGTGAGTGAAGGACAGGAACAGTCCTCGACTCTCTGCAGCAAACCCTACCTTCTGCTTTTTTTTGTGCACGATTCTGAGAGGCAGAGGTTGTATGGAGAAGCAGAGGCATGTGTTCATGTCTGTGGTTTCCTGTTTGTGTTGTATGCTTGTGTATCCGAGAACCCTAAAATAAAGTCACATATAATCCGTGGAGCCGTTACGTTACGTCCACAGAGCCGTTACGTTCCTCACACACACACACACAATCTTTTCTCAGCTGCAGCTCTGCCGATTTCTCCTCCCTAAGACGGCGGGACGCGGCCAGGCTGTGAGTCGGTGTGTGAGCACACACACAAACTCCCAGCTAGGCTGCGGGTGTGTGTGTGTGTTCGGGCTGGTTTCGGGCTGGGTTTCGCTGTCTCGCAGACGGCCACTGGGCTCATAGCAGGAGCTCCAACAAGCCGTGTAGATGCTGTATGAGAAACCAATGTGAGTTTGGAACATTGAACAATATAAATCTATTTTAGTATACCTCAACAATGGAATTATGATCAGTTGAAATCAGGGCCGTATCCAGGATTTCCTAAATACCGAGGTCCAAACATGCTAGGGGAATTCGGGGATACCCCCCGAGATTTTTGGGATTTTCATGATCTAGTTATGGTGCTTTTTAAGTCCTATGGGGAGTCACAAATTGGATAATATATCGATTTCAAACCATGTCAGTGGGCTGACAATGTCAGCATCAATTATTTTGAAAGTGTAATACATAATAAGAATCAGTTGATTGTTACTATTAATGATCTGGACATGCAGAAGAGGCTAAAATGATCACAAAACATTGTCAACATCAGTGGCGAGCCGTGACTTGTATACCTAGGCCCTCTGACCCCCACCCCTTCCCTCGAGTTATTACGTCACAGCGTATACGTATACTTCAGCGGAATATCAAAAACAACGGCCCGGGGTGCAAAACGCATCAATAAAAGCGACCCTCTACCACACAAAACAACACCTGTAAATAACCCTATTTGTGTTCTTTGAAATTGAAAAGGATATTGCATTGTGTTTGTTACTTTCGTTGCAGTTGTATATCTTAAGTGTAATTTGGCATGCTTTTATTTTGAAGGCGAGTTAACGCTGTTGACAGGAAGTTGTTGTTGCTATGGAAACAAGAAACGTTTCACAGCGGGCAGAACTTGTCATAAAGTCCGCGATAATAACACCCACCCATTTAGCGGGAAGATATGATTGGTCAATTGTACTGTCATTTGACATTACTCTCTCGTTCAGTTACTATAGCGGGGCCCTCTGTGAATTCATAGCTGGACCGCCTGGACGTCCAATCAGCTCCTCTCTTCACAGTAACTCGCAGAGACGAGCTTCTTTCATTTAACTCTTCACATTCCAACATAAACTGAATAGGCAGATTCGAAGGATTTATTTCTTTGGAAATGTTATTTTAAATACAATTAAATCAAGTTATTTTGGTAAAACTAATGAAAAATATAACTAAAAAAATATATTAAAAAATATATAATTTGTTTTAATGTTTTTAAATATTATTTTGTAGAATATCTTAGGCCCTCACAGAGGGCCCTGACGGCTAACCTACAGCCTCTCTTCCATCTTCTTGAGTCTCTCTGTCTTCTTCCTGTTCATTACTCTCTCTGTCCTCTACGCTTTCTCTTTGTTCAACCTCTCCCTCGTTGTTCACTTGTTGCTCCTCCTCACTTGTCTCTCCTGCCAGTGAATTAAAAGCAATTCAGCAATTTAGTTAATTTCACTTGTTTGTTTGCATTCTTTTTTTATTTAAATCTGTTTTGTTTGATTCTCAAAAGAGAACAAAGATGTAAGCAAATTGTGTTTTATACAATTGTATGTTATTACGACATCATCACAAGACTATTGTTATAGACACATTACATATTTCTCTCTCTCTCTCTCTCTCTCTCTCTCTCTCTCTCTCTCATCTCTCTCTCTCTCTCTCTCTCTCTCTCTCTCTACTCTCTCTCTCTCTCTCTCTCTCTCTCTCTCTCTTCTCTCTCTCTCTCTCTCTCTCCTCTCTCTCTCTCTCTCTCTCTCTCTCTCTCTCTCTCTCTCTCTCTCTCTCTCTCTCTCTCTCACCAAAGCTGAGCTTCGACTGACTGACGTAGTCTTCTCATTATATCTGAGTCAGTGTAAAAGGAAAACAATACAATGTTATATCTTCGATGTTTTACTCAAATTGAAATAAAAGAAAAGCATTACAACGTTTGTTAAAAGGTAATCCTTCTGACATTGGATGAATGTAATTAACTTTAGCTCTCTAGCTAGTTTATTCACGCAATTTAAACCAAAGTATAGCCTATAGCTGCAATATAAGTTAGTGTGCATGTTGTCGGACGTCCACTGACTAACGTAGAGCGTTCACACAGGATCTGCTGCTCATATGATGTCCTGATGAACAGAAACACAAGTAGCCCGCTGGACTCAGATCTCTAGATACCTCATCACTCCTCCGCTGCTCCGGTTCAAGTCCGGGCTGCGGTGGTTTGTTGATACATGTCGTCTTCTTCTGTTTGCTTTAATCGAGGCTACGTAGTTATGCAGCGCCCCCATGGTCAGTAAATGGAAGTACTACAAAGAACCCCGTTTAGTGTAATTATTTCACAAATTTTGTTATACACAGCTCGGAAAATATTACCGAGGTCCGGACCTCGGTGACCTCAATGGTAGATACGGCCATGGTTGAAATGGCCATGACATGGGACCTTTACAAATGTTAATTACATGTGACCTTTAAACCTGCAATAACTGATCTTGACCACTTGGGGTCAGCAGCAACAAGAAAACAATAACATCATCTCTTTTCAGGTTAGGATCAGTAGCGTGGCGTGGGGGAAAATGTAGGGGAAGCCCATTTTTTGGGTCGGGGGGTGGTCAATAACGTAACCAGATGAGTGATTACAGCGCCCGGTATCATTGTACACACATTTGTATCACACAGATGCAGGACTTGCACACGCCTGTTATCTAACCGACAGGTCCGCACGCACTCTCCAGCTGAAACTCTCTCCTTATTAATTTAAGCATTTTACTTATTAATGTATGCAGACAATCACACAATCTATGTGATTTTTGGATTTACCATGCCTCTCAATTGCCCGTGACAGGTTGGCAAGGTCGATGAATCCTGAAGTTGCCCAAGGATTGTTCAGGGAGCACGAATCCTTGTCAAAAAGAAGACATGGCCAGCAAATTAGACGCTGAAGTTTAGCGCTTCCAGTTAGCCACTCCGTGCGGACATAATTGTCCTCATTGAACGTCCGATTCTCTCCCTTTTTCCTCTGCGTACACACAGCTCGAGTGCGGGCATTGGCCTGTCATCTGATTTAATTGTTAGTTGCTGCTGTAGCGGAAGTTTAGTAAAGTTATGTTTGATTAAGTACGCCAAATCTCCACCCTCCATAATGCTTCATTTGCTTGATAATTTCTAACGGCGGTGATGACAGTTACAGTATTAAAACTGATGTTGATGTGATTTGATTGGATGGCAGTGTCCAATCAAATCGCCAGCCGCCAGCCGCCAAGGGAAGCTAGCCGCCTCTTGCTTCCCTTAGGGAAGCAAGAGGCGGCTAGCTTCCCTTGGCCCTGACCAATCACAGGTTGGCAGGGGCATCAAGTGGGCCTCATCTGATTGGTCAATCCCTCCATTTTTTTTCACCAAGGGAAGCTAGATTCGGCTGGCCTCCTCTCGCAACAGTGAGTGCAATCTACTGTTTCACCCATAACATCTAGAGGGGCGCTGTTTGTTTCACTCTTTGTAAAATACTCAATGAGAATGGGGGAGAGCCGGGCCGGCAGCAACACACAGCAAAGGAGAATTATCGAAACAAAACAAAGTGTTTTTATTTATTTATTAAAATTATAACTACAATCCGAAAAAACAGGGGAAGCCTGGCTTCCCTTGGCCTCCGGGAGAAAACGCCACTGCCTGAGACACAGTGTCGTGAAAAAAAAAAAGTACCCGTCGGCGGGGATCTTGGGGCTTAACAGGTTTTAAGTATTTGTATTTTAATGTTGAGCACACTGGTCCTGCAACAAAATAATTTCCCAATTTGGGATTAATAAAGTACCTACCTAACTATCTATCTATCTATCGACTGTAGAGGTGAGTTTGAAGGTAAATTCACAACAATGTATGATTACAAATTCAGTTTTTTTGTTGTTCAGAACTCGATGCAGGTGTGCAGATGCCTACATACTCTCTCACAGAATGGTAAATATTTTCCCATTTCATTTTGCAGATGCTTTTACCCATTTAAATAACAATAAGTGCATATAACCATGAAGATGCAAACTCAAAAAGTGTCTATACTAGATGTGAGAAAATGTATTTTGAATACATTTTTACCATTGAAGATACTTGTGTATTATTAACTAAAGTAATTTTTTTAATTTCCCATAATATTAGTATTTTTCGTGGACTGTGACATGTTGTGTGGAGTGTTTTTCGAGCAAGGCAAGTTTATTTATATAGCACCTTTCAACACAAGGCAATTCAAAGTGCTCTCCAAAAACATTAACGAGCTAATATAGAATAACACAGATATAAAATACATGAATAAAAGTTACAGTGCAGTGTAAGAGATGAATAGTTCAATTATAAGCAGCGGCAAAAAGAAAAGTCTTCAGGCTGGATTTAAAAGTAGTCAGAGTTGCAGCGGACCTGCAGGTTTCTGGGAGTTTGTTCCAGATATTTGGAGCATAATAACTGAACTTCTCCATGTTTAGTTCTGACTCTGGGGACAGAATAGTGCACCGTACTTTAACAACAAACTCCTCCTAGGGATTTTACGAAGTCTTTACGTTTGGTGTCAATCAGGATGAAGTCCAAGTTATGTAACGTGTATGGCATGTCCCCCAAAGAGTTTATGGAAATCAGAAATAGTCCTAATTGTCTATGATAAACTGTGTAGCCGTAATGTAGAAACTCAGAGATTAAACCCACAATCCCACAGGCGTTACAGCATACAATAATGTATTGTATTATAAACACTTTTTAATCTAGAGCCTTGGCTATAAATTATAATATCATAAATTCCAGTGTTCCCTAACTGATATACTTAAGTATAAAAGAAAAGAAAGATTTCCATTTTATGCATCTTTATACTTTTCAAAATCACTTAATCTCACAGGAAAATATTTTACTTTTTACTCAGTTACA